GGGCTCCTATCTAACCTAGTAATGTGCGATGTTCTTAATTGCACTTCCAATCATTCTTTGTTTGTTCACTATTCTACTTTAATACTAATGATGCAAGAAATTAAGCTAAGTAAGATATTTTTGTATGGGGTTTTCTTAATTGGTAAAAAGGCACTAGGGAAGTGATTTACTCCTAGGTGAGTATCTAATGGGGTCTAAAACTTAGGGAAAAATTGTTATAGTTGGGATCATAATATAGTCGTTGCACGTAACTACTCACTCTATACCTCTGGGTAGTTTGAGTGACTTTGCCCTAATTGGCTTTCTCAAGCCCAATTGGGTGTTCAAACATTGCAAGAAAAATTGGCTCAAGTCGGGTATTACTATCTCTAGGTTTAACCCTTTAATTGGGGCTATCAATCTCTTGAATGCACCCCAATTCCTTGTTGGCCTGAATTTCCTAGACTTAGTCTCTCTTTCTCAAGAAGAGCCTAAGTCAACAAGGCACAAATTAGTGTTTGCAACCACCAATTCAACATTTAAAGCATAAATCAGACCAAATATCAATCACCCATAAATATTTAAGCCCTAAAGTAGAAGATCCATTACATATCCACACTAGGGTTGAGCCACAACCCTAGCTAATGGTTCTAGCTACTCATAATCCAAGAAGAAATCAGAAAATTAGATGAAATATAACCCATAAAAAGTAAATACAAGATTAAAATCTAAGATTAATTGTTGAAGATACTCTAAAATTACTCAAAAAGGCTAAAAACGGTTGTTCACGTGCTCTACCAAACAATAGATGACCTAAAAATCTAAAAAGGAAGTATATATACACAGCTAAATTTCCGGACAAAAATGCCCTTAGGAGATTCCGCTGACAGCGGAAAATGGACCGCTGCAGCGCTATGGTTACCGCAGTCGTGCAAAATCAAGCGCGGACCGCGGTCTTCAACTTTTAGCTCCACTTGTGGATATCTGATTCTGACTTCCGTTGAGGGCGGTAAATTAACCGCGGCTGCGCTAAAGCTACCGCTGCCGCGTAATTTCACCGCGGGCAGCGGTGACATGTTGAGCCCAAAACATCACTCTTTGAACTTTTTCACCGCTGAGAGCGTAAACAAGACCGCCTCAGCAGTGGACCCTCCGCGTCCGCGTTAGTTTCTTCGCTGTCAGCGCTCTTTTGACTCAGCTTTGACTTGTGCAGGTTGCACTCCTTTTTGAGCTGGTTTTGACTTTCTTGTCTCTTTTTGACCAAACACTGCAAACAAGCACAATAAGTTAGCTTTCAGGAATACTTGTGCACACTTTTAATCTAAAACATAAGCAAAAAGGAGCATAAAATATACTAGAATCCCTAGTTATCAACTCCTCCAAACTTAAGCTTTTGCTTGTCCTCAAGCAAACAAAGTAATTTCCACCTCCTCAAGATAAAAGAAAGGAAAATTCAGCTGTCCTAAAGTGACCTCATTAAGACTCAATTGGGACTAACAATTACCCTTAACTCAAATGCATTATTAGCAATACACAACCTTTCAAGCACCATGGTTTTAGTGCGACACAAAAGCATCAAGAGTTGACTCAACTCATCAAGGAAACTCTTTATACTACTTTGGTCATTGTGGAAACCAAACTCATACTCCTCGACTCTCCATATGCAAACCTCACTTTTAGATTGTAGCACTCAGAACGAGGATTGTAGAAAACACACTCATCTCTCACAAAGGAAGGTCACAAGTCCGGCTCTAAGTACCATAAGCTTGCACCTTATGTGAGTCACCACTAATGTAAGCTCACTCAACTCAAGATCATATAGGGCTTTTGCGGGAATGTAATGAAGGCTTTTGGTTCAAGGTAGGATATATTGGTCCATGAAGGTTTCATCTTTCCTTAAGCACTTCATTTGCTTCATTTTGGCTCACATTTTCTTGACTCTTTGAGTCATTTACTTCTTCCTTAGGGGCTAGAGAGACACACTGTCACTCTTTCTTGTTCATGTCCACCCTTTTTCTCCTTTCTAGTCTTTCCAAGCCTTTCATTTTTGCTTTTATTGAATCCCTTCATTTCTTCTACATTGTTCGCTTTCTTTTTGACTTTTTGGCTTTTTCTTTCTTTTTCTTTTTCCTTCCCTTTTCTTCCTTTTTGTACCTATTATCACTTTTGCATTCCTTGTCTCTCCCCCCAAATTTATGCTTTTGCCTTGTGCTAAGAAAAGATCGATTGCCAAGAGAGGATCATTTTAGAATGGATAAAGGGTTGTATCATGGTTTTTGAAAGAATAAGGGCTATGGCTCAATGGGGTTGACTAGGGATATCATCATTAGTGGGCTATGGATGTTTTCAAG